AGAGAGAGAGAGAGAGAGAGAGAGAGAGAGAGAGAGAGAGAGAGAGAGACAGACAGAAAAGAAAGATTGAGACTAGCTAAGTAGTAGAACAGACCTGGATTCAACTCCTAGCCCTGAAAAAACGTATGTGTTTCTGTGTTTCTAATAGTCTTTACCAAAGTGCTTTCCAACAGGCTTAAAGCATGTCCCTGTTTCTTCATTCCCAATGTGCTACCCTTGGCATTTGTTCTGCAAATGCACCCTTCTCACTTCCTGCCTGTGCGCCTCCTGCAGCACAGACGTGAGCAATGTTCCTGGCGTCTCCCTTCATTCTGATTCCTGCTCCCCGCCAAGGAGATGCCCTGGCTGTGGGAACTGGCTAAAATGCTTTCAAGCCCACTTCACATCCTCACAAGACGAATGCAGACAAATATGCTGTCCCACACTTTTAAAGAGACACTTCTCCCTGGGAGCAGCGTGGCGACTGGAGGCAGCGGGCCCCGGCACAGGCTCCTACCTTCTCGCCCAGCTACTCTGCGCTGGCCATGCTTCTCATCTTCAGACCTGTCTCCTGCAACCTGGAGACAACAGCGATGATGTAAGCATCGTGCACACCCACGACACGGGCCCTGGCTGTGGAAATTCAATGTCCTGTTCTCTCTGCAACTCAGATCCACCCAGCTCAGGAACACAAGACGCAGTAGGCCGCGTGGTGGGGGTGCGCCCTGCAGAGCCCCGGCTGTCGGGGCACAAGCAGGCGCAGGACGCTGAGATGCTGGGTCAGCCGCGCACAGCCGGCCTCGTGTGGTAACAATATGTCAGTGCGCCAGCTTAAAATGCGCCTGGGGGCGCCAGGGAGAGAGCTCAGTAGAATGAGCGCTGGCCTGCAGGCACTTTCCCGAAGGGCTCAGTAGGATACTCTGTCTTGTCACAGATACATACATTTTCACGTTTTCTTTCACAGTGTCACGGGCCGAACCTGGCGCCTGCTCGCACCGGCCAGCACAGGGCTGCAGAGCTGTGGTCTCGCTCCAGGACACTTCTCACCAGAACCTCAGGGAATCCTCTCCGGTGGCTGCTGTCACCCAGCTGTCTAGACCTGTGGCAGCTGCTGTAAGCCAGGGCCTTTAGAGGCCACAAAGCATGTGTGTCTGCTGTTGACTAAAGCTACACTGCCAGCATCCTAGGATAACGTCCTTCTCCTTTGGTCAGTTGAAGCACTGAGCTCACGTTCTGAGTTCTGAGCACAGCAATTGGGTTAAAGCAGAAGTTCACGGGAGAGAATGTTAGCAGCTGCTGACGGGGGTCTGCGCTGTTTATGCGTGATCGTCATTTTCATCTGCGATTTATCCCACAAGGAGGATACTCGCTTAGATTAACGATACCACGACTATCTTTTTCCTCTTATATTGGTTGCCCTTTTAGGTCCTTTATGTCTGTCTCTTCAATTTTTTCACTCATTTCTGAGCTCAGATGCTGAGAAAAAGATGAAATTCAGCAAAATCTTGAAAATATCTTTTATTTTTTATTTTTATTTTTATTTTATGGCAGAACGAGGGATTGAACTCAGACCCTTGTGCTTGCCAGGGAAGCACTTATTCTACTGAGCCATCTCCCCAGCCCTGAAAACATCTTTTAAAACTTCCACATGTGAAAATTATTAAAACAAGGTAGCAAAAGTCTTAGTCTCCATTCTGCCAATGAAACAGTGCGTAATCAGGCACCTTAAATAAATGTTTAAATTGTTCTCTGAAACCCGACAGGGTTATTACCTTCCTTTCAGAATAAAAACTGCCTACTTTTATTTTTCTCAAATTATCTCCCACTCTTGCGAGATAATCTCTGAAACTCCATCTTTTAGTGGCAGTATGAAGAAAAGGGAGTCATTTTTTTAAAAAGCAAATACATTATGCATTAGTTTGACAGTATAGCGAAACTTGTTATAAACACTTTCTATTTCATAACAGATTGATTTTGCAGGCAGAAACCTGAATTGATATGCTCAAAAATTTAAATTACTTTCCTAAGGTCCCAGAGCTAGATAAACAGCACACCAAGGGTTAGAACCAAAGACAGAAGGGCTCCCAAGTTCCTGTTTTCCTAAGAGATTACAACAAAATTCAAATAGCATTCAAATTGCATTTAGTCATTTTTAAAACGGATATTCTACTTACCTCCAATTTAAAGATTAGAGAGCAATTTATGTTTATGTGCAGGAAGCCTTAGTTTCGAATAAGACTAGTGGAGAGCGCTCAGGCCGCGCCCTTCCCGCAGGATGTGGCTGCTCTCCGCCCTGGCGACGCTGCTTCGCGCCCCTCCCGGTCTCCTCGGGCTGCAGAACCGCCGGGTCCGGGAGTCGCTGGAGGTGAGGACGAAGCGCGGCCAGGGCCAGCGTGGGCACCGCGTCCCCAGGACCGCTGGTCTCCGCGGGTTTCTTTAGAGACTTTTTCCGGTCAGTTTTGCAAACCGGGTAAAGATCCTTTCTCGTCGAGACCGGGGCTCGCCTGGCGGCTGGCGGGTCGGGCCCGGGGCGGCTCCCCGGACCTTATAGCGCTGCAGCGCGCAGGGCGGAGGCGGGCGAGGCGGCGGCGGAGGCGGCCCTCTGGGCGCGGGTCTGCGCGACAGCGCCTGCTCTGGGGACCGGGAGTTCGCAACTTTTCCTAATAGGAAAGAGAGGAAGGGCAGTGGGCCTGGAAATGCAGTTAAATGAAGCGTGAAGGTTCCGTACTGAATTGGGCTGCTCTTTTGTTGTTGTTGTTGTTGTTGTTGTTGTTGTTGTTGTTGTTGTTGTTGTTAATTAATCTTAATGACAAGTAGCAGTGAGACAGTTTCAAAACAGGTTAGTAGGACAGTTACAATAATTACTACATTGCATATCGTTGTCTTCATAGTAGTCATTCAGAGGACAAGATGCAGACATGATATCTTGGCTAAACACTGTTAGTACAAATCTTTCTTCTCATTGAACTAAGAGAAAGTAGCTGTATATCTCTCTATCCTAACTACTTTGTATGCATATG